GAGCCAGCAACGCGGAGGAGGAAAGACGGGCGCCAGCAAGTAGGCTGCGTCCGGAACAGAAACCATGGCTACAAGCCTAAATATAGAATGATGGATGAGGGCGAAACATCCGTCAAGATAAACGAGCATCAAACATTGTTTATTACAACCCCCTCCCCCCCCCCCGACGAGCTCGTCGTCGGGGCGCACCTGAGCCGAGCACACCTCATCCGGGGAACCTAGGGCTCGAGGATCATGTTTAAGAAACATAACTAGTCGTTGTGTGTCTCACTATAGCTAACCCTCCTTCGCGGCGGCTGCTCCGGGCCAATTTCTTCTGCACCTCCCAAGGCTGAAATGGGTGTGGGTCAAAAATGGGTACCTGCGGTCCATATCCTGGCGGTTTACATACCCAAATCAGGAACCGCCAGGCAAGGGGGCTTCTTCATCAGCCTTGGCCTTAAAATAATCCTTGTAAAGCAGGTGGTTTTTGGTTGATCTTTTTCATCTAAGGGCGGAAGTACATACCCCTTGTTCATACCCCTTTGCTTCTGTGGAACCAAGCCACTTTATAAGGGGTATATACCCGTTTTGGCGAGAGGGGTATGAACATCCGCAGGCCTCTCAGGGGTTCATTTGCCCAAGGGCTATGTAGGGGTATGTAGGGGTATGTACCTTGGCACCCTGGATTTCAGGAACCCCGATTCCTGTTTTCGAGCACACATCGCAGGCAACACCGCGACTACGCTGGTGTATTGTTATGTCGTTGCCGCTTGCCTGGGATGAGCCTTAGAGGGAAGGAACCTTCCGGGGACGTTTTTTAAGAAGCAATTTTCTGGGCCTAAGCCACTTGAACCATACGTTGAAGCAGAGACACACACGCACACACACACACATTTTCTTTGGAGAACCATGTCTTTTGGGGGTCCACCTCTGTTCTCATTGCCTGAACATGGGTTCCACTTCGACATTTGCCATGAAAAGGTGCCTGTTCACACACTGACGGGTTGGACTGTTCCTTCGTGAAGCGTCCCTGCCTTTTTCGGTTGCACAGCTCGCATCAGCTGTAGGGCTTGGACCCTTTGACAACTTGCCCAAAGCGAATCGAGCTTGGGCCCTGCTTTGGATCTTGAAGTGGTGGCCCCGGTTGCAAACCTTTTGCTTCCTCGTTCGGGGTGCGACCTAAACCCAAGCATTCAGAGTACGAGTTCGTAGCCAGCCGAGAGGTCTTGGAAGCAGATCTGACAGGTGAAAAGCGTCCAATGGCCCAACTTCATGCAACATGGATCCTTTCAGGGTCACATTTTAGCTTGCCGACGCGAAGGTTCGGTGTGATTCCTGGTACTGTGTTGGAATCTGCTTCCGAGCCTTGTGCAGTCCCTGGTGCATCAGCATGTTGCGTGTCCCCCCCTGGATCTGACGGCATAAACGGTCCCATACATGGAACCCGAATTTGCAATTTGTTTGAACATGCTGTAAGCTTCAGCCTGTGTTGTGTTCTCATGATGCCAGAGGATTTTCCAAATGGCTCGCTGATTGAAAGTGTTTTATCTGATTATGCAGCTGTTGACCAGACAAGTCTTGCGATCTAGCTATGGCTGCTCACTGTATTTGCAAGACTGAGACGGGCACGAGATCATAGGACATGCTCATGAAAGAGCACTAGTGTGTGCAGCCCGTGTGGAGTGAACACTTGTGAGAA